TTAGGGTTTAGGGCTGAGGAGGTTTTGGGCTTAGGGATAAGGAGGTTTAGGGCAGGTTTAGGGCTTCGGAAGTTTGAGGTTTCAGGTTTTAGGAAGTGCTTTGGGCTGAGGGTTATTTCTGGTTCCAAGTTTGGGGTCTGGCCGGTCTATGCTATGAAGGAGTGATTTAGCCCAACCCCCCCCCCCCACTAGTCAAGCAAAAAACGCTGAAGCCCTAAACCTTAGAAGTACATTGAACATATATCTTTACAACCCCTTTCAGGGGGTCAAAGGACCACACCCTCCTCCAAATGAGCCATCATCTAAACTGTTAGTCTCCCCCTTAATAAGCCCTATNNCTATATAATCCTTTATATAACTCCCCTTTAAGGAGTTTGGACCCTAAACCCTAAACCCTATATAACCCTAAAGAATCCTATAGAACCCTATAGCATTCCCCCTCTAAGGAGGTCAGACTATATAGCTTAAATGCTTACTGCCTGGGCCAGCTGTGGTGAGTAGTGGAACGCTTGGGATGCCCAGGGTCTTGGCTGCGAAGTAAGCGTCCTTGGGTCAGGGTTTAGGGTTTAGGATTTAGGGTTCAGGGGGGTGAAAGGTTTGGAGTTTAGGGGGTTACAACGTCAAAAAGAGATTCCGAGAGGAAGTTTTTACAGACCCCAAAATGCTATAGTCCTCTCCTATAAGGGGACCCCCAATTTTCGAAAATCCCCATATTGGTTCTATGGGGTCAGATTCAGATAGGGAGATGTGGGACTTGAGTTTTAGGAGCCTCTTATCTCAGAATCAAGGAAATAGGATGGAGAAGAAAATTGAAAATGACATGGAAAGTTGGCTTCTATTGGTTTCTAGAGATTATGAGCTTAGGGTTGACTTTTGGATTGGTGTTTTAGGGCCTAATGCCTAAGGAGAAGTGGGGCTTAAGGCTAAGGGCGTCGGGTTCAGTGTTTACGTCTATGGCAATATTGTGTCAAATTTTGGGCACGCATTAAATCTAAACTAAGAACAAGGATAGTCACAAGCACTCATCACAAACAACAGGCAAAGAACAATGAAAAGGACAGTGACAACAAACAACAATCCTACCCGTAATGGCAATGACTAAACCAGTTTGGACTATGTTCCCTCTCGAGCTCCAGCAAAACATGAAACATGTGAAACACATGCTCCCCTCTGGATCTTCAGTACCAACAAGAAGAATCAACCTTCCCCCCCAACGCATGTGGTAGTATGCCTTTTCTTGTCAGCAAACCTGGACTCACCCAACCCCACACCCTTAACCCCTAAACCTGAAACTTTCAACCCCCAACCAAAAACCATAAACCCTGTCAAGCATCACGGTTGAGCATGGGGCAGAAGAGCAGAATGTGGGGCTGCACCCGCTGCATCCACCTGATCAAGGAATTTAGCAGGGTGTATAAGGATACACAGGGATTATGGGGTTTGAGAAGTTAAGAGGTATACGAGGATGCAGGATGAAATTTAAGGATATACCTTCGCCCAGATAAAAAGGAAGGCTCAACAAAAGCCAGATAGGACAGTGGGCTTCCAGGAGAGGGCGAAACCCAAAACCGTGCATGTCCGCGACCACTAAGAAGCAACAGCTGCGATAACAGAACAAATCAGGAGCAAAGCAAACAACCCTATCGATCTAGCTAAAATGTTGGCTATGTACCCATATAGTAACCCGAAATATCCTTATTATTAACCTAGTTATTAACTGCCCTTGACCCTCCGAGTAGCACCTCTTCCACAACCCAAGCCTGACAATTCCCCCGCTTGAAAAACCTAGACGTGTGCAGATTTCGCACCCTACAGTTCTCCCAAAATCCCACGACCGCAATCCTTGCATGACTACTACAACCCTAGACTACTAAACCCTAAGCACTGAACCCTGTACCCTAAACCCTAAACCCTAAACTCCTACACCCCAAACTCCCAACCAACCCAGCTTGCATTTCATTTTCCATGTTCTCTTCCATTTGATTCGCCATCATCGGCGTCACATCCCTAAACCCCATATAAATGAATATACCCCTATCTAACCTTGCGTAACTCCCAATAGACCTACTATATCCCCATGGTACAGTCATGGGGGCCTCAGGGCTCCTGGTAGGCCCAACTCGAGAGAGATAGGCGCCAACTTTACCCAGGAAACCATCATGGCATCTTCCTTGCAGCCCATGTCACATCTGCGGGGGGTTTGGGGTTGAAGGCTTTAGAGCTCAGCATCTGAGAGATGTTAAAGTTTCCCCCCAAAAAAACGGATGAACTATTTTCAGAGTCCCTGAAAAGATGAAGACTTTGGTGGCAAATACTCAGCTCCCCTTTTGGAGACCCCCACATAAGGAGGTTGATATGCGAAGCTAGGGGCTTAATGTTTTGAAGGGTTCTGGCTATCGGGGCATATTGGGGCTTCAAGGTCCCTACCAAGACCCTGAGCCCTAAACCTTCTAGGGTTTAGGGTTTAGGGTTTAGGATTTTGGGCTTCTGGGTATTTTGGGATCTTCTGCCCAAAATGAACCCCCCGAACGACAGGCGACCCTCTCCAAAGGCTTCCAGGAATTCCAAAACCTATCAACCAGAGATACTGTTTCCACTTAAATTCATGCATGAGCCCATTATACTCGCATGCGAGAATTCGCAGGTATAAAATACTGAGAGTTGTGCAAGATTTTTGGTATCAACAGAAAGGGGCTGATGGCAAATACTGCAAAAGCCTAGACAACTAACCATATGTATCCAAGGTGACCTTGCTTTTCTTGTAGCTCAGTGTCCCGCACAAATGTAGGCCTCTGCATACAATCCCTGCAATCACTCAGCACAAACCCGATAAAACCCTATATTCCCTTCAACAAGCCCCTAAACACAAAAAAAAAAAAACTGGCCTAAATCTATATGATACTGATAGCACCCCTTTTTGATCCACAGAACCCCTCTACTCTAGAGAGAGACCCCAAACACTCGTCAAGTATGTGGTAGTTTCCCAAAATGAGGGGACCCCCATATAGACCTAAAGATACTATAGTCCTTATTACTGGGACCCCTAGAATGGTACCCCTAATTTTGGGAAACCCTAAACCCTAAACCCTAAATCCTAAACCCTAAACCCTACATATCCCGATATAACCTTATATCACCCCTTTAAGGGAACCCCTAAGAAACTCCCCATGTCTCCTCGAGTTCCAGCTCCGTCTTCAGGGCCTCCGTGGCACCGAACAGGTCGGGATTCCGACCTGGCGCCCCGAGCCGCTCCGAACGGAAACACAGGTAGAGGGGATGTAGGGTTCAGGGTTTAGGGGTTTAGGGTTTAGGGGTTTAGGGGGTTGATGGTTTAGGGTTTAGAGTGGAGGGGATGTAACCCTAAACTCTCAACTGCTGTTCACATGTTTCAACATTCCTTGAATTAGGATTCAAGGTTTAAGGTTGAGGGTTGCTGAGTTTGGGGTTTAGAGATGGGTCGAGTCCTCCCTTCTTCATGCTTAACAAGCCCTCACCCCTTGATGTTGAGCACTTCCCATCTATAGGAAATTCTATGTATGAGAGGGGGTGTATCTCATTGTCAGGGCTGAAGGTGTTCAATGTATGGAGGCACTGGGCTGTTGCGGTCATGTTAGTAAGCAAGACCTAGGGTATGTGAACTTCCCCTAAACCCTCAACCCTAAAAACCCTAAGCTCTAAACCCCTAAACCCTAAACCCCTAAACCCCTACACCCTATGATTACCCCTACCCCCTAAACCTGAACCCTCCACCCAAAACCCTAAACACCCTACATGCCCAAAACAGGAACCCTGGCCTTCATACAGCTCTGTGCACTCCTCCAGCTCGCTGGAGAAGTGCGCACCCGTGTCCTCGATGGCATGTCGCATCTGCTCCCGAGAGAGGTAATGAACCTGGGGGCAGGCCACTCTGCGCTGTGCTAAGTAGGGTTTAGGGTTCAGGGCTATATGAGCTCTAGTCTAAACTCCTAGTATCCCCCTATAGTAGTTCCCTATATAATCCCCTATATATCCCCTTTAAGGAGTTTAGACTGTAGCTCATATCATCCCCCTATCATGGAGACTCAAGGGTAATGTACCTGGAAGCAGGCCACGCTGCGCTGTGCTCAGCTGGCCTTTGGTGAGCTGGGAATGAAGCAATGGAAAAGAAAATGGAAACTACTATAATGGCTTATATAGGGACGATTATAAGGATCCATTCCTAGCTAACCAAAGGCCAGTTCTTTCGCAATCCCCATCATTATCATTGCCGTCATCATCATCAACTATACATCAAACTCCCCATGGGTTGGTGACCCACTTGATCCCCCTGCCAGCATCCGGCCTCATGCCCGAGCTTCACAAGAGCGCGCGCCACCGGCAGGGAAGGGTTGATGTGACCCGAGGCCATGCCAAAGGCAAAGGCGAAACGGATTGGCGACTCTGAAGCCATGGCGCCGAAACTCTGAGGAGGAATGTTGGACACTTTGGTTCTGGTACACAGCCCAGTGAAAGCTGCGGCAGAAGAAATGTCTTCGTAGCTCTTAATCCACTCCCACGAAAAAGCCCAACACCTGATAATGGATATGCCCCAGATGACACCATGGTGGTCTATTGGATATGCCTTGCTGTTTCCACTACACTACGACTACTACCGCCGCCACAACCACCAGCACCAGCTGCTGCTGCTGCTGCTGCGCTGACAACGACTATAATGATGCTGGCGACGACGGTTCCCACCGTCATGTTCCACCAGGACACAAACGGGTGCTGCTGTTGCCTCTGCGAAGCCTACTATCATGATTTTTAGCATGATTGCTGAGGTTCTTGCGATTGCAGACACAATGTACACCCTGAAACTACCATGAGTACTACTTTTAATACTGAACCTCCTGCATCTGCATGACATCATGATACCATAGCACCATACTTCCCAAGACGTACGATACTCAAGGTCATGCAAGATTTGTAGTATCCGCCCTATGACACTTCAGAATGAAACTGGGTTGCTGTTAAGGAACTTAAATTAAGTTACCATAATGGGTATATATGGTAAATAATAGGGTTTCCCCAATATAGTAACTTAATTTCAGTTCCTTAAATCCCTGTATTCCCCCAGTTTCCATTTCATTTTCCATTTTCTTTTCCATTTGATTCTCCATAATAAAGGGAATAATCCCTTAATTTAAGTTCCTTAACAGCAACCCAGGAAAGGGTACGTGGTTTCCGGGGACAGTGCCTAAGGATGCTCCGGCTATTCGCGGGATCTGACCAGGTGCCAAATCCATCTCCGCCGTCGCATGGAGGCCTTGGTGTGGAATCCATCCTTACTTTGCTTCTGGGGGTTTAATGAGGGTCCCGCATCCTCCCTTGTTTTCAAACCCAAAGAAACTGCCAGAAAGTGCATAATCCAAGGTCTAGAGTCTAGAGGAGAATATCTGACAGGAATCAGGGAGATTCATTTTCGGGTTTGTACACTGCAGGCACCGGACGTGACGAAGGCATCGTTCGACAGCATGATCATCGGACACCTTGGCCCGTCACTGCGCTTAATACGGTGGATACTAAACCTCCTGCATGACGCTTAGTACATTATACCTTGGGAAGCATGGTACTATAGCATAGTAAGGTCATGCAGGATCTTAATATCAACATAATTCTTGGTGTTTGAGGATTGGGGTTTCTGACACGTTCAATGCTTTTTAGCCATGATGAATTAATTCTTTTGCAAATCCATGACGAACGAATGTTTGTAATGGGCAGATGATGCAAAATCTTTGATTAAGGAGGCTATAGCAGTGCCAACGCGACTCTGATTGCTGTCAACCTGCATCACACAGGACTGCTGTTCATACTATCCCTGCTAAGCTTACTGCCACCTGAATCCAATCTCAATCAGCTTAAGGCCTAATCCACAAAATCTACCCGAACCCCAAACCCTAAACCGTGAACCCTAAGCGCTGCACCCCAGACCGAAATTCCAACCCCAACCCCTCAACGCTACAACCAAAACTCCAAACCCTAAACCCTGAACCCTAAACACCCATGCGGTACAGTAAAACCTACATCTTAGACCATCAACCCTAAGCGCTAAACCCTACACCCCAAACCCTACACCCCAAACCCTACACCCTAAACCGACCGAGCCAAAAGTGGTCTAAGGCTGCAGCTGCGCTGCAAAGGATGCATCTACCAACTCCTGGCATTCAAAGGGTTTAGGGTTTGGGGTTTAGGGGCTTAGGGTTAAGGGGGCTTCGGGGAGGCTGGAGGGTGCAGCCTGGCATTCAAGGGACTGAGTAGTGCCTGGGGGGAGAGAAAGAAAAAAGGAAACCCCAAACCCTAAATCCTCAACCTTCAACTACTCCGTTGTTTAGGGTTGAGGGAGGTTTAGCCTGGCTGAAGGTGTTCGTTTGGGCTTGAGGTTGGTTAGCCGGTGGTCAACCAGGCTTGGAGTCTAGACCTCGGCTTTAGGATGCTTCAGGCTAAGGTTATGGGTTTAGGGGTATAAGGTGAACAGGTTTGAGGTTTAGGGGTTGGGGGGAGTTTAGGGGTTAGGGTTGTGGGAACAACCGTACACGGGAACAGAGCATTTCAATCCAACGCCAGTTTAGGATATTTAGGGTTTAGGGGAGGGATTGAATGGCCCAGCCAGTAGAGGCAAGAGGACCCCTGTTTCATCTAAACCCTAAATCCTAAACCCTTAAACATTAAACCCTAAACCCTTAAGCCCTAAACCCTAAAACCCTTGAACCCTTAAACATTAAACCCTAAACCTTGAACCCTAAACCCTGAAACCCTAAACTTAAATCCCTGTAAGAACAGAGCCTCCGGACATCAGCATACAACTCAGCAAAGGAGGAGAGCGCGGCTGCAACAACACGAACAATACGTTTAGGGTTTGGGGTTTAGGGCTTAGGGTTTAGGGTTTAGGGTTTAGGGCTTATGGCTTGGGGTTTAAGGTTTAGGGCTTAGGGTTTAGGCTTTAGGGCTAGCACCTGCCAAAGGATTCAACACCATGCTACACTCTGACAATTGCACACAAAAGGCATCAATACAAATTTGTAGCACCATGCACGCATTCTGAAGTAATCACGGCTATTTTTTGATGGGTTGTAAGGCTGCGTAAACTTTGAAAAATTGCCCTTCAACCCAATATAACCCTTGCAGAATCCGTACATATAATGTTCCCCTATTTCCTATTGACCCGCAGTCAGAAGAATATATGAAAGGCTTCGGACAGCCGCCTGTGCCGGCAAAGGCTCAGGCGTGACTTTCTCCGACATTCCCCGCCTTAGAGACAATCAAGGATTGCGGCTTGGGGATTAAAGATTTAGTGGTTTAGGGATTTCAGGGATTTTGAGATCTAGGGGTTTAGGGGGACCCCAATATAGACCCCACAGTGCTTTTTATGGGGCCTGGCCTTAACGGCCTGAACCCTAAACCCTAAACCCAATTTTAGGAAGCCTTAAACCCTAAACCCAGTGTCAGCATGTAAACTTCTAGGCCAGGCGGGCCTTCAAGCAGTCTCACCAGCCGCTCTCTCTCTCGCGAAAGCGAAAGGCAGGTTCAGTTCC